CACGCACGCACGCACGCACGCACGCACGCACGCACACACACACACACATTTTCATTTCATTCCTCCTACCTTCTAGGGGGAGGTGATTTGTTCAATGTCACATAGACTATGTGGTGACCAGTTTCCTGGTTCTTAAGAGTTCTTTCTCCCACAGCATATACACTGTGGCTCACTTTACTCTTCCTTCATAGGTTCATCCACCCACGAACCCACCCAGTTTTCACCAAGCATCTACTGTATTTTCAAGGAACTCGCAGTCTGAGGAGGAGAAGCTTGACAGACACACATTGTAAATGACTGCAAGGAGGCTGAGGGAGCCCTGAGCAGAGCTTCTAACTGGCTAAGAATGCCCTGTAGAGCTGGGTGTGGTGATGCACTCCCGTAGTCCCAGTACTTGGGAAGCAGCTCTCTGTGAGTTCAAGGCCAGCCTGGTCTACACAGTGAGTTCCAGGCCAGCTATGGCCACAGGGAGACCCTGTCTCAACAAAACAAGACAAAACAAAACAAAAGAATACTCTGTAAAGCAGGGAGAGTCCAACCCAAGGCAACTACAAGTGACATGAGTGAGCCAGGCCACAGGAGGCTAATCAGGCAGAGGATTTCCCAGTCTACAGATATGGTATACCATTGGGCTGCACTCTAGCCCAGCAGGTACAGGGATGTTTATGGAGCAAAAGGGGAAGGAAGTGATGCTGAGCAGTGAAACCAGGAGTCAGGGAGGTAAGGCAAGACTGTGGTCAGTACACAACTAAGGGACTTGGGTTGGTTTTGCTTTTGGGAACCCAAGATGCTTTTAATGTGGGCAAGCAATTAGACAAGTACATGCACATACACATATATATGAGATAGGGTCTCCCTATGTTGTTCAAGCTGGCCTCAAACTCACAATCTTTTAGTCTTAACCTCCTGAGTGCTGAGCAGATATACATTTTTAAGCTACACCTCTGTGATAGTGTGGCAATAGACGGACAAGGCAAGAGGGCAGGAAGCAAATAGGGGAGCCCAGTGAGGAGTGACTGGTCACAGGCACGAGAAGAGCCATGGCCCAAGGTAAGGGTGGGTAGGGCAGGTATGAGGAAGACCTGTGCTACACAGGCACTAGGAGAAGTGCTAGGTGTGGACAAATGACTAGGTGTGGTGTGGGGAATGGAAAGGAAGGGGACAGGTCTAGCAGAATGCCTTCATTCTGAACTTAGGTGGCTGAGGCCATGGTGGGGCCTTGCTGGGTCAGGGTGAATGAGTGGCTGGTGCCTAACTGTCCCAGGGTGGGAAGGCTCACCTTGTGGATGAGAACTGTGCCACAGAGGCCACGTCGGCCTGCCTTCTTCAGGACAGTGAAGGCACTGTCATCCCCAATGACTACCATCTCCACAGCGATGCCCTCAACCCGGGCCTGCTCCATAGCAACCCCAAAGTTGAGTCGATCCCCAGTGTAGTTCTTCACTATGAGGAGGGTGCCTGCTGCAGGAGTGGTGGCAGAGGACCATTAGGTTTAACCCTCATACACCCCGTGTACCCTCCCTGCAACACTCTCTCTCCCACATGCCAACTTTACCTGTGCCTGCCTGAGCCACAGCCCTGATGGCTGCCAGGATGCTGCCCACAGCTGGGGAGGCGAACACAGCTCCCGCAATGACCCCTGTCAGCATTCCTTTCCCAATGAAACCTGAAGATGGAGAGAAGAGGAGTGAGGGTGCTGGGTGGAGACAATGCTGCTATCCCTGGGGCTTCTCACATGCCTGAGCTCCATGGCTGATAAGTCCTGCTGTGTGCTTATGCTATGGCTGACCCCTCCTCAGGAGTCATTTTGGAGGGGCTTCCCCTGACTACCCATTCTAAAGAGCCCTGTCCCGTCCTGCTACTTCTTGGTCCTTGCCCTGTTTTATTGTCTGTTATCTCACTTAGCACTCTCTAGTTCACATCTGTCTCTCCAGAGTGGGGCGTTCCAGTCCCACAGGGTCTGATTCCCAGGTGTGCCCTATATAGCACCAGACACACAGCGGGCTGGCTCATGTGTGCTGAATGAATGAATAGAATGCTGAGGGTAGAAAAGAAAGGGGCAAATAACAAAAAGCCTGGGCCTTGCACTGTAGGGCTCCCAAAGAGGGGTCCCATCCCTGGTACCAAACAAGATACCACCCAGGACTGTCCAGGGATGGGAAAGGGCAGGGTGGGGAATGCAGGAGGTGGGTTCTGCTTTGAGTTAGGAAGAGTTAGGAAGGCTTCATGGGAGGCACTGAATCAGCTGGTACTGGAAAGTCAAGCTAGGAGGACTCTTGCAAACACTGACTGTGGAGGCTGGAAGAGCCCCAGAAATTCTCTAGAGATGTACAAACTCTGATCCACAGACAGGCTGTGACTAGTTTCAGGTGGCAGCCTGAGGGAGTGGAGCAGTAGGAACTAGGCCCATTCCTAACTCTGGCCTCAGCATTGACTGTCCTATGTCTGATATTAGCACTGAGGATCTCCCAGGATCTCTATTCAACTCTGGCCAGCACCCGCTACAATCCACACAAGGTACTCACCAGCATGGGCAGGCTCATGGCCTGATCCTCCACCTGAGAGCAGGGCCACCCGGCCCTTGAGGCTGTCCAGATCAGAGCGTAAGGCCACACGGTGCCCTTGTAGGAGCTGCAGATCAGGGTTACAGGCCACTAGCCCAGCAAGTGCATCATCAGCACAGCCTTCCACCGAGTTCACCAGTTTCTTGGAGGTCTGTGGGGGAGAAGCAATGAGGAGGTTCAGAGTTTGGTCAGCAGGGAGGGACACCCCCATCCTGCCCAGCATAGGACTACTATGCCAGAGAGTCCTCTCAATGCCACATAGGACTTCGAAGGGTACAGTGGTGTTTTGAGCTGTGCCATTACCAGGTGGATGCATCTATGACTTCCTAATTTTAGACTTAAAAAAATTATTTTGGGGACTGGAAAGATAGTCCAGCAGTTAAGAACACTGACTGTTCTTGCAGAAGACCCAGGTTTGAATCCCAGTACCCACATGGCAGCTAACAACTGTCTGTAACTCCAGGTCCAGGGGATCCAATAATCTGTTCTGTCCTCCATGGGCATTGCACGACATGGGTGCACTTACCTACATGCAGGCAATACACGCATACACATAAAAAGAATAGATATTAAAATTTTTTAAATTATTTTATTTTTACTTTATGTGTATGAGTATATTCTCTGCATATGTATAAATGCACCTGTGTTGTGCAATGCCTGCAGAGGTCAGAAGAAGGCAGGGTGTCAGATCCCCTAGAACTGGAGTTATGGACAGTTGTTAGCCACCATGTAGGGGTTGGGAATTGAACCCAGGTCCTCTGCAAGAGCAACTTGTAATTATCTATAACTCCAGCTCCAGGGGGATCCAACGCCTCTGGACTCCATGGGTCCCTGCATTCATGTGCACATAGCCCACCCCTGAGATACACGTAATTAAAAATAAAATCTTATGCCAGGGCGTTGTGGCGCACACCTTTAATCCCAGCACTGGGGAGGCAGAGGCAGGCGGCCTGAGTGAGTTCAAGGTCAGCCTGGTCTACATAGTGAGTTCCAGGACAGCTGGGGCTACAGGGAGACCCTGTCTCAAAAAGACCAAAAAAAAAAAAAAAAAAAAAAAAAAATCTTACAAGACAGGATAGGAGGTATGTAAGTGTGGGGAAGAGGGAGGGTATCTTGGACAGGAGGGCGCATAAACCAAGGCATGGAGGTGTGGAACAGTATGGTGGCTCCAGGAAGCACTAGAGTGAACCTGAGTCACCTGGGGCCAGCAGGAAGAGATGACTGGGGCCTCACAAGCCACAGGAGGAGTATTGTTATTGGAGTTTTTAGGGTCAAGGTCTGGGCTCTGGGAGCCTTAACAAACTAGACTCAGCCACCTGTTCTCAATAGGTCAATTAAAGAAATGATTAATAGTAAAAAGCAGAGACTTACTCAATATTGTCACATTGAGAAGAGGAAAAAAGAGAGGTCCAGTGACCCTCCACCCCGCAAAGTTCATCTTCAGGGCATTGACATGAGGTTTAGGATAAAATAGAGGGCAAGCGGTATGCATAATTAAGCAGTTCTAGCTGAGTGTGGTGCACACCTGTAATTCCAGCACTTGGGAGGTAGAGGCAGGAGAGTCAGGAGTTCAAGGTCAGAGTCAGATACATAGAGAATTTGAGCCCAGCCTGGGCTACATAAAACTCTGAGTCAAACAATCTTACAAAAAAACTAAAACGGGGGCTGGAGAGATGGCTCAGCAGTTAAGAACACTGACTGTTCTTGCAGAAGACCTGGGTTCAAATCCCAGCACCCATGTGGCAGCTAACAACTGACCATAACTCCAGTTCCAGGGGATCGGACAGCCTCTTCTGTCCTCCATGGGCGTTGCATGACACTGGTGCATTTACCTACATGCAGGCAATACATTCATAAACATTAAATAAAAATAATAAATAAAATATAAAAACAAACAAACAAAAAAACTAAAACAAGGCCAAAAAACCAAATCAGTCTGGTCAGGGTGTGGTTCTGCCCAGCTTTCCGGAGTCATTCTCTGCTCTAGTCTCTCCTGTAAGGTGGTCTGACAGGTTGTCAGAACTGACTCCAGGCAGTTTCTCCATCTGGCTGGCACCAGAGCTTCAGTCTTTCCCTTCCCCCAGCATGGGCTTGCTGTGGAAATTCCAATTACTGGGGGCTATTGTCTTAATAATCTGATATCCAAGAGCAGGGACACAGGTCTCTCTTTCTACACTATCTTCATTCTTGCCAGAACAGTAACGATGTGACCTGCTCTGGGCAGCCTCAAGAGGGAGGTTGTGAGTAGGTTGGTCTGAGAGCTCCAGAGAAGCACCTCCAGGCTCAGTTGAGTTACCCGGGGGGTGCAGGCAAAGGGGAGCTTGGGCTTTGTACTCACTGGGGCTTGAGTTCAAATCCCACACCTGCCTCTCATTTGCTATGAGAAACAGTGAAGATACATGGGTGTTCTGGGCTCAGTTACTCCTTTATAAAACAAGGATTTGCTGACTAGAGCTTGTGCCAGTGACAGGGTAAAAAGGAGCTATATTCCCTTTTGTGAACAGGGTTTGAAAGACTGGAGCCAGCTCAACAAGGATCATGAGCTGGGTTGCTGGTCCCTGCCTTTGTCTTCAGGAGGCTGGGAGAGCAGGCTCAATGGAGATCCAGAGGGGGCTGCCAGTGCCACCTAGTGGCCGTGGGCCGATCCATGTCCTGACAAGCCTCCTTTCTGAGCCCGCCAGTTAGTTGTCTATGCAAAATGCAGCCCTGAAGTCCTGGACTAGGGTTTCCTGAGCATAGCAAAGGCCAAGGCCATGCCACCCATTTAAGGATGAGGCTGGGGTCAAACTTACAGAGATCTGCCCGCCTCTGCCTCCCGAGTGCTGGAAGGGCTCCAGTTCTTAAGTACTAAGAACCAGGCCCAGTTCTAATTTAATCTTATTTAATTTTCCCAACAATCCTAGGTAGGAAAGATTAGCACAAGGAACAAATGGAGGCACAATAAATTACCGTGTTCAAACTCACACAGCTAGCAAGTGCCCAGGCCTGCCCAGTTCCATCCCAGCCTTATCACGCTATGGGGTGGCAGAGGTCTTGCCTTAGGAAAGGCACAACGTGAGAAAGAGGGACCACACCATCCAATGAAGCTGTGAGTTGGTGTTAACTACAAGCCCAGCCTTCAGCACTGCCACCTTTCAAGAGATTCTCAACTATCCCTGCACCAAAACCAGAAGAGTTTGGGGACCAGTGCCATTCCTGATTTCCAGTGGCCTGAGGGGAAGGAAAAGCAAGGAAAGGGAGGCACTATGTGAGGCCGATCAGATTCTCGTCTGTTCAACATCTCATAGCTAGACTCTAATCTGACATAATGCAAATTAAAAAAAAAAAAAAAAGAGAGATTCAGAGAGGTTAAACCTTGTGTATAGTAACATGGCTGATGGGTGCCAGGCTGAAATCTAACCCTATCTGTTGCTTAAAGCAAAGCCCAGGGGCATGCTGATCTTCCCACGCTGTAGTTCTCAGCTTTGGGAGCAGCCTACACATGCCTGGGCTCAGAAGAGCAGCAGTTCCTTTTTCCTGGTTCCTTCTATAACTGGTATGGTGACTATTACAGATCAAGTAACTTAATGATCCAATCTAAATGCATGACTGAGACCCTAGCCAGAGGGTTTAAGATCATCCGTGTTGTGTCATTACCCCCCCTCTCCGGGTCTGGGACCTGCAGCAAGGGGAGGGAAGCAGGGATCAAGCCCAGGGGGACAGAATGAGTCTCCCTCTTAACTTCTGAACCTCAGGAAGCAGCAGCATTTCCCAGGTGAGGTGTAGGAAACCCAGGGCGCTCAGGGTGGGGAACCCCATAGTCCTCCCTCTCCCATGGCCCCCACAGGACTCACCATGGTGGGAAACAAGTTGATCTCACACTTCTGTTCTGAGCTGCCACAGGGTGGGCAATCCTATGAGTGCTACGTGGTCTGAAGTGGAGGTGGCAGCAGCACCTATAAGGTGGTAAGGACACAACTGCTGAAGGCACAGGGAGCCAACTGGCACAATCACGCGATCATGCCTCCAGTGCTCTTAGGAACTAGGGAGCTGCCTCAGACTTTGATCCAAGTCCAAACTCTAGTACGTGAGCTAGGGATGGAGAGCAGCATGGGGCTGACCAAGGTTCATACCCACACTTGGCCAGAAGAGAGGTTAACTCATGTTGGGCACAGGGCTGCCTTTATGCCCAGGAGCAGCACTCACTTCATAATCAAGGAGCAAAGCTGCCCACAGAGGAACTTTCTATCTTACATGGGCGTCACTTGTGAAATGTTACAAAGATCTTTACACACATGTCGGTTGGCCTTGCCAACCACCCAGGAAGGAGCTAGCTGTCTGTGATCACATTTCACTTCTGGGATATATGACTCAGCTCTAGTAACCCTGTCAGACTGTATAGTTAAGAGTCATGCTGGGGGTCGTGGTGCACACCTTTAATCTCAGCACTTGGGAGGCAGAGGCAGGCGGATCTTTGTGAGTTGGAGGCCAGCTTGGTCTACATAGTGAGTTCCAGGACAGCTGGAGCTACAGGGAGACCGTCTCAAAAAAAAAAAAAAAAAAAAAAAGTCAGGACTTGAACCCATGTCTACTCTTTCTACAAAGTCCCATCTTCCTACTGATCAGTGTGTTCCTACTGATCAGTCTCTGCTGGGGGAAACCTGAGGTATAAATTACTCCTCAGTTCACCTAGTTCAGCAGTGTTTGGGTGTAAATGACTCCAGTGTTGGCCCTTACACAAACAATCCAGACTTAGCTCCACCCATCTCTACCTCAATTTAGTAGGAAGACCTTGGGAAAACTGACTCCCCTGGGCCGCAGCTTCCTCATCTGTGAAGTAAAGATTAGTTCCTCTTTAGCAATCTGCAGATGCTTCAGGCCCAGGCTTCTGCTGCTCTTTGGGGGCCTGTCTGATGAGGCCTGGCCTAGGTCTGCAGTGCAGTGACTGGACTGATCTGGGTCATTAAGGCTCTTGCAAAGAAATTCCAGCTTTGTGTCTCACAGGAGATACAAATTGGCAAGTGACTTTTTAAGTGGGGAGCCCTTCCGGGTCCGGATTAAACAAAGGTGGGTGGCCGGGCGTGGTTGCGCACGCCTTTAATCCCAGCACTCAGGAGGCAGAGGCAGGCGGATCTCTCTGCGTTGGAGGCCAGCCTGGTCTCCATAGAGAATCCAGGTCAGCTAGGGCTACAGGGAGGCCCTGTCTCAAAAAACAGACCGAAAAAAAAAAAAACAGAGGTGGGAATCCTGGTCCCCAGGTGAGGCGGGTGGTAGTTGTAAGGTCAGATGAGGGCATCCGCTGGATCTGGAGGAACTCGAAGAGTTAAGGAAAAGGAAAGCGTGGTTCTAGTTTGGAATGTGCACAGACCCGTTGTCACCTCTCTCCCCGTTTCTAGGACTCTGCAGTCCTTCCGGTTCCAGATGGGGAAAACAGCCCCAAGGACTCCTGGAGCAATGGAGGAGGGACGAGGGGCGCGGCGGGCCGGGGAGTCGGCGGGCTAGCTCGCAGCGGGTATCGGGTGTCCAAGGACCGACCCGGGCCAGCCCCGCAGGGCTCAGCCATCCGGAGAGCCGTAGCCGCAAAGTCTGGAGCACGCTGAGGTTCGCTCTCCTGCGGGCACCGCGGCCAGCGGCGGCACAGGGAGGGGCGGGGTTTCGGGGGGCGGAGCCTCGCTGGGTAGGCCGCCGCGGGTCCCCCACAGTCCTCCAGGCGGCCCGGGGAGGCCGTCCCGGCATGCCCCGCGCCGGGCCGCTCTGGCCTGCAACGTGTCTCAGGGGCGGAGGCACCGGCCGTGGAGTTGGCTGCGTGCGGGTGGGGGCTCCTGTGTCTTCGCTCGTGCCCATCTCTCTCTGTAGTCGCTCTTGGGTTCTCTCGGGAATTCTCCGAGCCTCAACATGTCGTACAACTACGTGGTAACGGCGCAGAAGCCCACCGCGGTGAACGGCTGTGTGACCGGTGAGGCTGTTGGGCCCGGAGACCCCGGTGAGGGAGGGAACCGAGGCCTAGGGCGGCCCCGCGGCCCCAGCGGCGGCCCGAGTCTGCTCGGGCCCCGCAGTGGAAGGCGCCGACGGCCGCGGAAGTCCCCCAGTTCGCTGCCCACTCGCGCCTTTTGGGCAGTAGGAGTTTCTATGGAGGGTCCTTTTTCCTCCCAGGAGGTCACTTGGCCTCGAGGACCCGCCCGGGCCAGGTGGGACGGAGAGCGAAGTAGGAGTTGTTTGTGCATGATTGCTTGAACTTCCAAATTGGCTCCATGTGGTCAGGGGAAGAGGCGATGATGCTGGGGGACTTTGGGGTCCGGGTTTTCTGGTGGATGCCTCGGAGGTGGAGGATTTGAATGTCCGCATTTACCTAAAGAGCACCCTCTCCGGACCCACCCTTTTGCCTAGGGCTGTTGTTTACTCTGTGGGCGCTGCTGGAGCTTTGGTTGGCCCGACCCTGCGCAGGCTTTGCCTTGTTTGTGTGTACCGATAGAGACCACTGATCCTTCAACTCATATTCTAAGTTGGGTGTGCAGATCTCAACTTGTGTATTTATGTAATGGTTCGAGAATAAAAGTCTCTTGTTCCTAGAGCTGCAGACTGCTTAGAGTGGGATTGGTAGATTGCTGGTGAGGCAAAGGGATGTGGAGAAAACACTGAACGCTCTGTGAATTTTTCTTACTTGATTTGGTCTGTTTGGTGAAAAGGTCTCTGAGGCTTTAGATGGGCTCTAGAAGAGATACACACTTTCTCCATCAGCTTCAATTACAGCCTGCCATTATGATAGGAAAACCCAACAGGACCTTTGGAAGGGTTTTTGCAGTCATCGTTTGTAGAAGGGCAGACTGTTTTTCACTTTTTCTAGTCTGATTATGGAGCAGCTTTGTTGATCGTGGGAAGTGAGACACGGAGGTCCTGGGTTTGGTGAGGAGTGAATGGAAGGAGGCAGAAAAATGTAAAGAAAATGAGGGTTCTGAAGGCTCTTTGGTAGATGGTCTTATTTAGAGATACTGGAGAGGCCCCTTCTCCAGCTGCAAAAGTTAGGGGATCTCTTCTTTCAGGACACTTTACTTCCGCAGAAGACTTGAACCTGCTGATTGCCAAAAACACGAGATTAGAGATCTATGTGGTCACTGCTGAGGGGCTTCGGCCTGTCAAAGAGGTGGGCATGTATGGAAAGATTGCTGTCATGGAGCTTTTCAGGCCCAAGGTAAGTGTTCCTAGTTGGGGTAGGCAGTGAAGGAACTGTTGGTTGCATGTTGCTTTACCCGATATCAGGCATGGATGGTGGCTTAGGAGGGACTCTTCTCTTTGAATGGCAGATTTGAATATATAGTCTTGAACAAGTTCCCTATAAGGAAAGATTCATTAAGGGAAAAACTACCAAGTTGATCTTTAGGAAGGAGAAATTAAATCAGTTTGCAGTGTGAGTCTCACCACGTGGCTCAGTGATTCAAAGGGTAGGCTGTGCTAACTTCATTCCTTTTCTCACTAGTTCTCACTTAAAGCCCCTTTCAGATCCTTGACTTCCCCATCCACAAATGGAGGTAGCAATGCTCAGTCCCCCCAGGATTACTGTGAAGATGAAATGTTTCATTCACACAGGGCTTAGCACATAGCAAGCATTCCCTGTTAACAGCTTCACCGTTATGATTAATATAGTTATAATTTGACTATATCCAAATAACTCCCACATTGCTTCATTATAACACTTTGAACAAAACACACTTTTTTTTTTTTTAAATAAAGATAGGGTCTCACTCTGTATCCTTGGCTGTCTTGGAACTTGCTATGTAGACCAGGTTGGACTCAACAGCCTCCCAAGTGCTGAGATTAAAGGTACACTCCACCCAGCCCAGCTTGTTTTGAAGTCTGTGTTAAATAAGACTGCAGACCTATTGCTTTTATTGTTATTACCACATTTCTTTTTTCTTTCTCCAAATACTTAAGAGAGGGAGAAGCATTGCATTCATCTTTCAGAACTTGAATAGAATGAGATGAATATAAGATTAAAATAGACAAAGACCTTTCCTATAGAGCAGAGAGATGGAGAAGCTTGATAGCAAGGGCTAGATGTTTACCACCTTCAGTTCTGGCCTTTAGTACATACCCTTAGGGTGTGTTCATACCTAGTCATGCTGCAGAATGTCCTGTATTTTCTCTTTAGGGAGAGAAGAATTTGGAAAGTTCTTCAAGAGCTTAGTGTATTTAAAGAAGAATGCCTAAAGGTTGGACAGGTTGTTCCTGTTTTTGAAAGAACCTCTTTTGATAGTATAATGTTGGTTTCCAGGGGGAGAGCAAAGACCTGCTGTTCATCTTGACTGCAAAGTACAATGCCTGCATCCTGGAGTATAAGCAGAGTGGCGAGAGCATTGATATTATCACACGTGCCCACGGCAATGTCCAGGTGAGGTGGCTGCTTTAGGCTGCTGAGAGTTTTGAGGTAATACTGTGGTGATCAGTGAAGAACAGTGAACTGCCAGGGCATCACTCCATGTGACCAGAGAAACAGAAAGCTCAAATAGCTTTAGGTGTTTTGATAGTCCAAGGGAAAAGGACTGATTCACTAAGTCACTCATGCAGAAAACACTGACACTTGGGCTCCCTGGAATGTTAGGCAGTCTTATGACCTCTCTTCCTGTGAAACTGTCATACCCAGTACCTCCTGTTTCTTTGTGAGTATTGAGCTTTTCCCTAATTCCAATTTTGTTTCTCAGGACCGTATTGGCCGCCCCTCAGAGACTGGCATTATTGGCATCATTGACCCTGAGTGCCGGATGATTGGCCTGCGACTGTATGATGGTCTTTTTAAGGTCATTCCACTAGACCGGGAAAATAAAGAGCTCAAGGCCTTTAACATCCGCCTGGAGGAATTGCATGTCATTGATGTCAAGTTCCTGTATGGTTGTCAGGCACCTACCATTTGCTTTGTCTACCAGGTACAGGATCTGAGAAGAAAGGGAGAAACTGTGGTTTGGAATGATGGGAGTGGGGCTTTGCCAAAGGATTGTCTGGGTTTGGTAGCAGGGTAAGGAAAAATGTTGAATGTTTTCTGAAGCATTTTGAATGAAACTATTAATGTGAGTCAGATTTTTTTTTTTTTTTTTTGCTTTTTGAGTGCAGTAGTACTAATTTGAGACAGCAAGCTCTCTCAGGTTTGTAGCAGGTTTTAATCCTGAGATTATAATCTGGTTGTAGATCTTTATGGGGTGACCTAGTTTATCCTTTGTCTGTGTCTTACTAGCATGCTAGAGGATCATAAAAACCTAGCTGTAGAAATGATTCAGAACTTGCCTTTACAAGCCAATAAAAAATATTTTTGTAGTGCCTTACTTAAGTCTTTTAAGAAGAGGTTCATATTTTGTTTAGCACCCACTTTCTGGTGACTTGCTGGCTCTTGACTTCTATTTTAGTCTGTGTGTAAAATTTTAGCAGAGCTGATCCTGGGCAGCTGTTCTCTGGTTTAGATCTAAGAGGCGGTGGGGCTGCTCCAAGACTAGCATGCCAATATCTTGACAAAATCTCAGCCTTTAACAAAGGGTCAGGTAGTAAGAGGTCATGTTACTTGCATCTGGTAGAATAAATGATGGAGGGAAATGATGGTCTAGTGCCACACAGGTAGAGTATATGAGCCTAGAAACACTGATGGCTGTGCAGAGTAATGGAAATGTATACAACGTCTTGTTTATTTCTTGGTCATCATAAATACTGCTGTCCAGAGACTGGCTGACACCAGGTCCAGTTGAATAAAGTTGAAACTAGTTTAGGAGATTTTGTTTCCTCTTACTAGCTATCAGAACTGAAGTTAAAACTTTGAATTTCTTTCCTTTTTTCAGTTTTGTGAATAACAGGTCATTACCATACTGATGTTGACTCCATAGGGGTAGTTCTGTCTGTTGCCAGGCCAGGGCTGCCAATTGTGAATGCTCTTCATTTCTCTGTATGTTTCAGAGGCCCAAATCCACCTTCACTTGAACTTTTTGTGAAGATGGATCTTTCCCCTACTCGTTGGTGGGAAAATTTCATCAATTGAAAGTGACTGATTTAGGCAGCAGTTGAGTTTGATGAATGTTAGGCACCTCCATGTGAAAGGTACTCAAGCTAAGCACTTCAAGAGCTGTCACAGTGGCTGAAATGGGGTCCTTGCCTTGAAACACATGGTTAAATTCCTTCCATGATTTCTTAGACTTTGGTCTGAGCTTTGCCAAAGCCATCTTCCATTGGCTGAATGTCGTTTTCTCCCCTGCTCTTTAGCCTCTTAAAGGTGACTTTGGCAGCCCCAAGACTGATGTGAGTCATGATTCCAAAAAAGGAGGGGAAGAGTCACGATTCAGAAAAAGGAGAGGAAGATGGATTTGACAGTGGCGGGACTGAAGCGTTTTTGACTACCTTTAAGGGAGCAATAAGTTCTGTTGTCTCTACGGTCACCCCTTCAGAGTACTCTTGAGAATTGTCTCAAATATGGTCTGGGGAGATGGCTCAGTGGTTAAAATGCATTCTGTGCAAGTGTGAGGACTGGAGTTCAGATCCCCAGAACCCATGGAAATGCTGGGTGGGTGTGATTGCCCACCAGTAATTCCAACCTTGGAAGGCGGAGACATGGGATTCCCAGAGTCAGTTGACTAGCAAGACCAGCTGTGTCATCCAG